CAAACCCGAAAATACTATAGCTTTTCAGTTTTTAATATCTGATACTACCTCCGTCCCATATATATAGGCTTGTTTCATTTTTCACACGGATTAAGAAATCTTATTTAATGTTATTGGAAAAGCAATTTTTATCAAGAACTTTCCAAGTTTATCCCTATTTAATTTTCAACAACTAGAAGTAAATTATTGTTGGAATTAGTAACTAGGCAAATTAAATAAGGGTATATTAGTAAAATAACAAAACATAACATTCCCAATTAAGAAACAAGCCTATATATTTAGGACAAGAAAAAAAGGAAACCCAGCCTATATATATGGGACGGAGGGAGTATCAAATAGTACCACGAAAAAGAAAAAAATTATAATTCCATGATATCATAACCTAGCAACAGAAGAACATCAGGTATTCAAGTACTTTTAAATGAATATAATTTTACTGAAACCTTTTGGCTCCACAAATAAGTCAAACAATCGAGTGAAAAAGAATTGCTTGAGAATATCAATTGATACAAACTGATGATATCATTATAACAACATTAATGAAGACATGGCAAAACATTGTAAAGTCAAGAACATTGAAAAAAAAAAATTAAATTTCTACACACCCCAACGTATCTTTCTGGGTTCGCCCCTAACCAAATGAATGCTGATTCATTCACATAATATGTTTCAGAATTCAAAAACTTATGAAGAAATATAAAAATGTTTTAGCAAGAGACTACAAAGTATCAAATGATCTTTTATTTATACAAAAAAGAGCCAAAAAATTGAATTTTCATTCTAAGAATTACCTTGAATATTTGATGATCTGATAGCACCCGATATGTTATCATCCGATGTACGATCTTTTCACATACTTCAAAAATTAAACCTTTATGAATGCAGAAATTAAACATGGCTGCTTTTGCATGTGTAGAAGTAGGGGTGGGCAAAACCCAAACCAACCCGAGTAAACCGCCCAACCCAACCCAAACCGACCGGGTTGGGTCGGTTTTTTTGCTTTTTTTCGTGGGTTTCGGGTATTGGGTTGGGTTAGCGGGTCGGGTTGGGTCGGGTTATGGGTTAACACTCTAAACCCGACCTAAACCGACCCAACCCAACCCGATTATCCAAAGGTTAATTTAAAAAAAAAAAAGGAAAACGCGTTGAAAAACAAAACCCTACAGGCCGAAAGCCAAATCGCCTTCACGCAGACGCAGCGCTTTCTCCAGTCTCCAACCTTCAAGAATCACGCTCGCCAATCGCGACTCGCCTCAAAGCCAAATCGTCGACGGAGATCTGGTTTGTTTAAATGATCTCATTCTAGAAACTCTGGTTCCTGTGTGCATTTGCTCTGTTTCGCATTTAGGCAAATCAATTCATAAATTGAATCGTAAGTATTTTTGTTTTTCATATAGAACTAGAAGATTCTCAAGAATCTGTTTTCTTTGGGTATTATTATTTCTGAAAAGAATGCCTTAAGGGTTCTTGTGGATTTTCTTGAATTTGCTCTAGAAAGTTGAATTATAAACACACTTTTTGTTCTCCATCCATAGTGCACGAGGTCTTAAAAGTCCTAGAAAGCTTGTAATAATTCTTATTGCAAAAATGCAAATGCACTTTCACTGAGCATTATCTGATTAAGATGATCGTAGAGATTTCATTAATGACTTAAGTTTTTCATTGAGATGATAGTTCTGATACAATGCTTTTTAAAATGATTTAATGCTTTAGACTACACACTAAAGAATTAGGTAATTGCCATTCTGTTCTTTCTTATATTTTCTTTTACTCTTCTATTGGATGTCCATTGAGTCCAATAAATATGCCATAATCTTTTCTTTTCCTTTTTTTAACACTTGTTTCAGTTTGAATAAATTGCAGATTTGTGTAAGTGATCAGAAATCGGTGATGATAGGAAAGATTGAGTGCCACAGCGTATCATTTCTTTTATTGATAGTACATTCAATACTTGGGGAGTAAACTGCAAATTCAGTGATTTAAACTATTATTGTAGCCCTTTTCAATTGGGACTCAATTTCAAGTTACACAAACCTTGTTTATGTTGTCTCATGGTGTCTCTGTGATTGGTCTTTGCATTTAGCATATTGGATCAATCTAAATCCCATGATGTTTAGTTGAGTTCATCTGTCCACTATCCACAATTATATAACATTTGAATCTTTGATCTGACCTGTAACCCATTTCTAGTTTATTTGTGCCTTTCTCTCTATGTAAGCATTTCTGGCTTGATGTTTTAGCTTATACTTGCCTAATTCTTTATATTCTCTCTAGATTGTATCACAGTTAGCCAAGATGGTTGCGCATGACTTCACTGTGGACTTAAGTAAACCTCTTGTCTTCCAGGTAAAAGCTTTTGCATTTTATCCATTTTTAAATAAAATAGGTATTTTCCAAGCAAAATATGTGCCCTTAAACCTTGCATGGTTGTGTCAAGTTGTCAACCTAAAGAGCACCCCATTAATAAGAGTGACACAATTTCCTAGTAGTTCTAAGAAATGAACAGAAGGGTCATGTAAACTGATCCCAAATCTATTAGAGATAAGGTTTATTTTGTTTTTTTATCGTTGATCTTTGCATATGTTTAGCTTATTATGGTTCATCATTTTCTACATGAATGTTGCTGTCTTTTATAGATTAAACGGGATAAGAACTTTTATATAGGATCATTGTAAACTTCATCATACCGATCATGTTAGTATAATAGAAAAATAAACGACTTTAATATTTGTTGATAAGTTGTCCCAAACCGACCAACCCAACCCAACCCGACCGATACTTGAATGGGTTGGGTTGGGTAGGGTTTCAACCTTTGCACGGGTTGGGTTGGATTAAATTTTGATCAAACCGATCATGTTGGGTTGGGTTTGGGTTAAGACAAAAACCGACCCAACCCAACCCATGCCCACCCCTATGTAGAAGTATAATGTGGGACCAAGAATTGCTCAAGAATTGTATTTTTTGGCAAATGGAAGGAAAATAGCTGTCTTCAGTGCCCTTGGTTGCCGAGGCCATGGTCTGTGACGGGGCGGATTAAAGAAAAAATTAAGTCGAATATATATATTTCACATAAAAATTATTTTACATATAAAATTTTTTTAGACGTTAAAAATTGAAGTGGGCTGGAACTCGCATGAGCTCCCCATAAATCCACCTGTGGGTCTATCCTCCCTATCGGGGACTTCTTGATTAGTGTGGCAGATTTGATGACACCAGAGGGTAGTTGGAGACATGAGATGATAACATAGCTAATCGATCAAAAATTAATCCTATCACTACCAACTGGCGAGACAAAGGGGGTAGCCTCTTGCACCATCTTTGTTGTTCACTAAGTCTCACAATGATGCAAGCCTTTATAAATATTACGCGTTTTATTGTGTCCATTATTTTCTACAATTTTATTGCTTTTTAGAGTTCATGATTCTCAACATCTTTTAGTGTACAGATGACGTGCTAATGCAAGTTCGGGAATAAACATCTCGACCCAAACTCGAGGTCTTGCTAAAAAACAGGAACTCTGGGTTCCTTTCGATACAACCCGACAACCAGATAAGATCATTTCATAAGCTACAGTAAGGAGAACTCCAAGAGGCAAGAGACAGATGATGTTACACCTCTAGTTGTAATCAAGGCTTGGTACTTGTTACGGGGCACAATAATGTGAAAGGAGCTCTCAATTAGGAAAGCTTCAACCTAGATTCTAGGGAGTCACCAATCCTAGATTACATGTGTGCGCATGTTTGCTCGTATGTTTAGGAGAGTATCGTCAATACTTCCATAATCTACGAGGAATCGACACATAATCAAAAGAAGAATAAGACCATAGATTTTATCAATGCTGACCAAATCAAACCGCGTTCATTATCGTTAGAAATATCAAGTGAGGTCAAATAGTGAAGGCACGGAAAAAAGAATGTGACCGAATGAACACAAAATGGACATTCTTTTAGGCTGGGAATGCCAGAAAACAATTGCAAAGCATGTAAAGTCCCAGTGTGAGCACTACCCTGAAAATAACAAAAGGAGTATGTTCCAGAATTTGTTCCCCCTAAAGAAGAGTATGTCAGACTCACTCTCTGAAACGAAACAAAAATAAAGCCTATCCATGATAACGGCAGGGAATGATCAGAATACACAACTTCACCTAGGTCTAGATGTGCACTCGAGATAGAAAATGTACCAATAGTCCACCAGTTATCTTTCAATTCCAGAAGAAAAGACGAAGCACCCAATGCCTACAGTACGAAGAATCAGAAAGCGCAAATCAGCCCCAAGCAAGTGATGAATAGGAACAGCTCCCCATGCCAATTTTAACAATTATTGCAGTTTCTTTGAGTCGGAAGTTTTTCCAGAATTACATGACTTCAATTTGCAACCAAGTGAGAGGATTTTCAGGACCAATTTATCTATCTCCTCTTCCTTTTTCTCATACACGACAAAGGCAAGAAAGACAATGGGAACTCCTGCACAATCCAATGTCAATAACCAAATGGCAACTGGGGTAGAAGAGAACGTATGTATACATGCACACATGCACACACAACCATCAAATCAAAATTATTCAAAATGTCAATTGCATACACTGCATGTTCAGACACTAGAGAGAGAGAGAGAGAGAGCATACCTATAACAAACACATTGTGAAGAGAAATAGCTCCAAGAATGCTGAGAGCCAATAGAGAGAGAACCACCTGTCCACAACCAGATTCAGAATGAGTAAACATTGGTTGATGGAATTCCAATCACAGTAAATGCAAATATAGAAGTGCTTTTCAATAAAAAGAAGTGATCAAGAAGGCTACACATTTTATCATTCATTCACCTGGTGGAGACCTGAAGCTGAAAGTCGTCAATTTACTTTATTCCTATTCCTAATATCGTGTTCCTCTAGGCTAGAGGCAGTTCGCAGATTTATGTTATTATCATCAGTGCGCAATGCCTGTATACATGCTGTGGCGCACTGTATATACCCACTTCTACTTCGAAACAAATTTACTCTCCTAACAAATTTTCCATGGTAATGTTTGTCCACTTATCACTCTCCTATCATGTTCTATTGGGATTGCATCGCTTCAATGAATGACGGCATCTTTCCATTTATGCAAGACACGTCTTAACCATCTAAAATAATATTCTCTAAATTTTATCGACAAATAATGCCACCACATTTTGCAAAACATCATCATTCCATAGTTATCTAGTATATAGTTGGCACAAATCCACCGAGTACGTTTTGTAAAGCTTTTTCAAGCTTATAAGATGGTCAAGCATAATTTTTATCCACACATTCTCTAGGACCAACAACTTGGTTCACAAAAAGCTTTACCAAACGTACACTTAATCTCCTCATTATGTTATATTCATCCTGTGAGCATTTATTATTTAATTGCTCAATAATCAATATCATAAAACAGAGCTTGGCTAGTTTACATTATATAAAACTTCTATTTTAAAGGATCTTCAATCACATAAGATCCCCATGACGTGTGTTCAGTTCAATCCGTTGTACTCTTGTGCATTATTAAATCCTCCTCCATTAAAGGGGTGGGTATTTCAATCACATAAGATCCTGGTGAAACTTTTTTATTCGGTCCAATCCACTCTACTATTGTGCATTCTGTCCTCGTCGCATTCCATGCGTTTTGTCTTAGTTCTTAATCTCAAACGCTTAATTCCACAAGTGTTCTCCAAAATAAAGACAGAGAGAGAGAGAGAGAGAGAGAGAGAGAGAGGGAAGCATATCCTTTTGCAGGTTAAGCATAAGTAAGCTCATTGCATGCACACGGATAGCTTGAGTTAAAGCTTCCAAAAGAACTTATAGCATCTTTTCAACCAAAAAAAAAAGAAAAGGAAAATATGCATCATAATATAACATCCAAAAACTACTTAAGTAGCCGTTAATAGAATTTAGTGGCTAGATATTTTTATTATTTTTTTTTTTTAAATTTTGGGACCCAACTAAGTGTTGACCAATAGTTTAGGACCATAGAGCAATTTCTTTTACACGTGCAGATTTTTCATTGGCTAAATCTTAGAATATAATAGCATGATTAATTTAAATATTGCATGTCAATTAACATAATTAATTGGTTAATTATTATAATTAGAGAAACTTTCATTTATTAAAATTAGAAACATTATTTATGCATGTGTAATTAGCAATCTCTTATTTTTATGTAATATGTTAGAATATTTATTTTGGCAATACCTTATTAGTAACAAGTATATATTTATTGATATAGTTAACTGGGTAATTAATTGCGTGATTGATTACATTTTATATGAGAAAACTTGTGACATTAATAAAGAAATAAATGCGAGTATCAAAAATAGGTAAAGGGGTCAAACCTTAAAAACCCCTTCACATAACTTACACGCAACTCATTTTGTACTTTATATCTATCTTCCTCTCAACGTATTTTTTACGTACACCTTTTCACAATACAAAGTTAGCGCGCTGAGCATCCAAAGAATTTTGGAGTGAAAGTCTAACTAAGCAATTTTTTCGATTTATTTTATCTTCTTCTATGCGGCTGCAAATGTAGTAGTACGAATTGTTTTTTCAATATTTGAATTACGGAAATTTATGTTCTGAATATGATATTACGGAAATCCAAGTTATAATTATGATAAGGGTCCTATATGTATAAGTTCAAAGGATCGGAGTTTAGTAGCGCTACACCAAAATTATAGCCACAAAGTTCGGATTTTAATTCCTGTGTATGTTATGATTTTCCATATTTAATTAAAAGATAGAATTCATTATTACTCATTTACTGAAATTTATGTCTCACATGCATATGTTAAAAACTTTTATAGGTAACTAAACAGGCGGGTTCAAGGTGATTGGAGGTGGATTGTGCTTGCATGGGTGAAAAATGAAGAATAAATTATGTAGTTAAGGATTTTAATAATGTTCATTGTATTTTTCTTAAAACTAATTTTAAATCCTCGCATGTTAAGAAAATATTATGTTTTTCTTTTGTTTATGAAACTATTATTTTACGGTACATGTATAATGATTTCAAAGGTAAAAAATTTGAGTAGTTGGTCTGTTCAAATCCTGAAGGACGTGATAGAAAACCGTGAGGGGGTAAGTAGGTATATGTCCACCCAAAGCGGAAAGTATGTAAGTTAATGGCTTTGGTATAGAGACCCGGGTTGTTACAAAAAAAATGTGTTTTTTGTAACGATCTGGATTTCTATACTCAAGCCGTTAGCTTACGTATTTTTCGCTTTGGGTGGACACATGCCCACTTACCCCCTCAATTGTCAAATTGATATCAAAATTCAACTTTAGTCTCTTATTAAACAGAGGTCTTGGCTTCGAATCCAGAGGGACGTGATAGAAATCAGTGAGGGGTAAGTGGGCATAGGCTCACCCAAAATAGACAGTACGTAAGCTAACAGCTTAAATATAGAGACACGGGTCGTTACGCATAAAAAGTGAAATTTCCATGAGTACAAAGCAATTAATACGCTAGTAATGATATTACCTTTAGAAAAAGTATCGAGTCAGTTCCTTTGCAAAGTGATTTTAAACAAATTATTGCAGAATTCCACCTTGACGCCACTGACAGAGCAACTTGGTGAGACTTTTCTTCTGAAATGTGAAATTTTGACTCCTGAATTTTTTCAAGTTTATATCCCAGTCTGCACAAACACAGCCATAATTAGCATTCCTAATACTGCCTGTTATTCAGATGTCTTTTTAAAGTGGCATTGTGAATCTTCTCTTTTGGACAACTAAACTTGCAACCTAAATAAATAAATAATTGCAGTGCATACAGTAAACGTATAAAAATCAAATGGATTTGCATTTTATTAATTACTCTTTTACTCAAACTCGTATCAGTCACTAAACAAACATGCCATGGAATTTATGCACTTGTTTAACACCATAGTTGAATCTATACGTCGTGGTGGTTATCTAATTCCACAATAAACCCATGCAAAAGCTCAATATAATTGCTTTTACAGAAAGAAAGTCAGCATGTATACATTTTCTCTGGTAACTTGGCATGGATGAAAAGGAAAATTGATGCTGCCAGAAGAAGCTTGGAAACCGCAGTTATGATGGTATATCCAGTTGCAATAAAGTTGAAGAAAAATGCAGCCAAGATCAACAGTACTGTTAGCGTTAGCTTTTTATTCCTCCAAAGAAGAGTGTCAGCAACTGCAAGTGTCATCAATATTGATGAAATTTAGAAATGCATTCAAGAATCCAACAATATAGTCATATTTACATGTAGATTACACTGAATGTATTAATTTTTGCAAGAAAAATCAAATATTGGAAATCTGGCCAAGGGGAAGCAAGTTCACAATAAAGACACCGAAACAAAACCCAAAAATAACTACCAAGGAATAATGCCGATATAATATGTTTTGTCAACTTAGCAGAAATATGAACCATAAGAAACCTGCATGCTATTTGCATAATAACAAAGCAACATAAAAATATTGTAAGCTGTCATATCTCCTTTTCATCTCAACCACCAAGCTCCTTCCCTGCTCGTGATTACTTGAACTCTCAAATCATTCCAATATATGCTTCCTCTCATATAATTCCTTTCCTAACACATTTTCTTTGAATTCACCCAGTCACATCCAAACAGGCCTCATATTCTAGCTTATTCTTCTTTTTACATAAATTCTTAGATCCTCAACATTCCAGAACTCTTCGTCTCCTTAGTCCTTACATTTCTGATCCCTCTCACCCTAGTACCCAATATGATAAAATAACTTATTAGCATCGCACCCATAGGCCCATTTCCTAGATCAAGATAAATTTTTGTATCCTAGTCTATTAGCACGTCCTCTATAACTTTTAATGCAACCAACCAATCAGCAAATGAAAATCCATACAAAGTATCACAAGGGGGAAGAATTCCCAGGTGCAATCGAGGTCATAAATCATTCTACATGATCAACTTTCAGCTTCATTATCCACGATGTGTTGTGGAACTGAAATTGAATCGTACGGTTATCAGAAGTTTAAGTCACTTCGACTCTGACAAATAAATGCATATCAGTCGTAGCCACACGTCCTAGCGGTTGACTCATGACAATTCTGGACAGAAGTAAGGACATCATATGCACTGAATAATAAAATATGTGGAACATTTTGCATCCAGTGACGAAAGAAGAATAAGAGCTTCAGTGAGAAGAGATTGATACCCTTCCCATTTCCGAGAAGTAAGGCAGCTTTAGATGGCCTATCATTTGTGGATGGAACATCAGCCCTCAAGTGTGGGTATGACTCAATAGTCCTCCTAAGGCCCTCCTGCAAACAATTAATATAGCTGAAGATAAATCGTCAAAAGAAATGACTCATATAAGCCATTGTTTGAGCCACATTACAATTTCATTCTCATTCTTCTACTCATTTTCAATCAAACATTTTTCAATAAAATAATATTTTTCATCACATCAGTAACTTTTCCTTCCTTTTCAACCACACATTCTCCATTAATCAACTATTTCAAAATACATTCTTCCAAAATAAAGTGGTTCAAACACACCCTAAGTATCAAAAGATTTCTGCCACCAAAGTTTTTAATGCACATCTGACAAAGTCAATCAATTATCATAGAAAATATCGCGTGGAAGCTCATGCCAGTGTGTGGGTACTGAAGAAGTTTAAATTTTCCTTCAATTAAATATGTGTGCAGAAAAGAATCAAATAAGGCGATACAAGGCCACACTTAGTTACATATATGTTACGAAATTAGATTTTATGGCTGCATAAAGGATGAATCATATCCAAAGCATGAATTCAATCTCAAAGCATAAATTATTTAATAAATCCATGAGTAGGTGTTAGGCAAGAGAAATGCAATTGATACATTGAGGGTCATAAAAAGGACCTGGAGTGGTACAATTGGTGTGTAGCCAAGACGATCACTTGCTTTGGAACAATCAAACGTTCGGCTAAGAGACAGAAGTCTAATTCTTGAAGGAGTCAACTGTGGAACCTTCATTCCATAAGGTGCTAAAAGCTTATAAATTAACTCCACCATATGTGCAATTGGCATCATAACAGCGGCAGGAATCTTAAAGTTTGGCCTGCATACTTAATAAATCAGAAATATAGAAAACATATGTTGGTGATTATATATTTCTACAAGGAAATAAACCCTATAAAAAACAAAAGAAAACAGAGCTATAGATACTAACAGAGTTGAGCGAACAAACAGATATGCACATAAAAAACAGAGAGAGTAAATGAGTTTTTTTCAATAAGGTTATTCCTATATCTTTCTTTATATACAGCAATTCTGTGCTAAAGCCCTTTCTTAAGGCAGTTCAGTTGACAATTAGTTAGAGGCTTAGAGCGCAGGTACGTAGCGAAACCGATTGCAAAAGAGGGGAAATCAGCTTTCACTCTGATTGTTTAACTTTACATCCGTCCCCAGATATCATTTCCAATATATTCGTGGGGCAGGCTCACTATGGAAATCTAAATCCCCCCCTCTTGGAGATGTATACTCTTCATAGGGCCCTCTTATCTCTTCCTTCTCTGAGCTCAGGTTATGGAAGAAGGTGGGTTGTGGGGCTTACTTCCTCGCCCCAGTTAATATAGACTCCATACCCAAATGATGCAGGGTGCATGGGACACCATAGCTCGTGTACTAGTTTAGGAGCAACAATGTGAAACTATTGCAGAATCAAGAACCAAGAATAGAGTGAAGAGGAGAAATAATGGCAGTGGGAAAACATGAATTCTATTAACAAAATCAACGTGTGAGACTTGTCCAGCACTCCACGATCAGCTTTGATACCAACTCAAATCATCTATAACACCAATTGGCAATGAGCTGATAAGCTACTCAAATTTCTAGTTTAGAATTGACAAATATAGGGCATGTTCCAATACTTCGATTAGCGAGATCAGATAAGGTACTTCTCTATCCATTAAAACACTGAAACCTATAATGAAACACTTGAGTGCATTATGTCAGACCACTAAAAGACGCATACTAACCCAAGGTAAGCAAGCAGGCTTCATACTCAAATAACAAGTGATTGTGGTGGCCTTTTTCGCTAAGAAATCATCATGTACACTTCTCTTAAGAAAGAAGAAGAGTACCTTTCATAACCAAGGCCTTCAAGAATAAGAGACATGAACTCCCAAAATTTGATTGGTTCCGCATTGGTAATGAAGTATGCCTGCAAAGGAAATTTAATTAAAAATTTGTCTATTCAGGCCTACATTTACAATCATGTGAATTCAATAATACTTCCAAGAAATTATACATTCAAAATCCCTCTTATGCTCCAAAAAGTATTTGTAAAATCAAATGTCGGTGCACTATTCCAAAATCTATGAGACTTATGAATTTTTGGACTGTGTCTTTTAAAAATACTCCATGTACACATTCAGAGATAACCTTCAAGAACATGTGTAACGCACTCTCATTGCTTGGCTGGAAACTTGACATACATCCAAATAACAACTAGTTATAAACAGTATAACAAGATGCAAGCAAAAGATATTCATAAATGTCAGTTCGATAAGTTCTTCCCATGCTGCAACTTATCATTTTTACAAGAGCAATTGGACTAGAAATGTATGCACTTATATGTAGCTCTGATCAACTGAAATGGTATCAACTCTATGCCTTGTAAGATAAAAACTTTACCTGACCAGCAGCTCTTTCTGCTACAGACCCTTCTGATGCCAGAGCTCGTTCAGCACATATATGAGCATGTGCCACATTCTCCACGTAAGTGAAATCGTACATGTTATTTCCATCTCCAATAATAAACTGGACAATTCACAATACCCGTCAGAGAAAAATGACCGAAACTGTCTTGATATCTAAGTACAAAAACAGCTAAAAGCACTTCAAAAATAATTAAAAAATAACAATGGCATAAAAGACAAAATAGACAATTCACACATAGTAAGGAGAAGTAGAGTTATTGCTAGGAATGAGCATCGCCAAATATATAATTCATGCAAAGGAACCTCAGAGTGACTGAAAAGCAAAGCAGATGAATCTCGTGCATTCTCTTTAAGCTAATCATAACTTCATTAGTTTAAAATTGCTACAGATAAATTAATCCACACAAAAGGAAAATCAATGTGTGACTAAGTAATAATACATGAACAAGCAAAACAACAACCTTTGATTTCCCAGCCCTTGCTGCTGCAACTAAAGATGGAACAAGTAACTTATCACCAGGGCCAAAAATGCTGCTAGGTCGAATGCAGCATGATAGAAGTCCATTCGAACCATTTGATTTGATAACTAGGGCTTCTCCTTCAGCTTTTGTAGCAGAATATGAATCATTGTGCTGAAAAATATAACCAAAAATAATATAAAATGATACATTTGCATCAATGAAATAATTGTTTGACATAAAATCAAATTAATTTTCATTTGCATATAGTAGAACTCACTTAGACCAGGAGAAGGGCATACAAGTCTTTGTTTTCTTACATCATCAAGTAATATAAAATAGTGAAATTATGTGGAGCAACTACAGTCCATCTGATCCAAATAAAACAGCAGGAAAAAGAGGAATAAAGATAACTAAATGAAAATGATGTCTTCCTTTTGTTCATCATGCAGTGTAAACTAGTGATGAATGCAAAGAATGCTTTTCATGATCCCTCTGTAGCATTGATATAAAGATAATATTGACATTAAGTCAACAAATTCCAGTACCTTAGCAGGATAGGGCAACGATTCATCCCCATTAAATATATCGTGAACTCCATCAAAGACAACACTTGGAGAACTAGTATACACAAGTCTTTTTACTTTCATCTCAATACAGGCATCAATAATATTACTGGTTCCTGTTGCAGTATGATAAAGAAAAATAAAGGAAAAGTTTATAAGGCTAGAGACTTTCAGAAGCATAGAGAGTATAATTCTTTATCAAGCTCTCTGATATCCTAAAATTACCTTGTACGTTGACAGAGTGATGGAGCTGATGGTTATTAATGGACGAATCAGGAGCAGCCATATGGAAAACAACTTCCACCCCTTGGCAAGCTGCACAAACACGGGGATAACCCAGAAATAATCAAACACTATTCTAACATCTATATTGGAGCTTTGAACTCACCAACTTCCATCACAGAGAGAAATCAAAATCCATAACCAGTCAAGTTATAAGACCAATTAACACAATCATCCCCTGGCATTAGAAACCGGTTTACCCTGTGTTTGCTTCAAATTTCAATAACTACTTTTACGCTCAAACTCGCAGACAACTCTTCTTCATAGTTTCACTGTCCTGGAATAGTTTCTATTAGAAATTTGTGAATTAATACACGCGATCCAATTCAAATTTTATGACCGATTCTCCAGCTGCTTCCCCACCAACCTGACATGCACTGAATACTAAATAAACTAGAAAAATAACTATGAAATCACAATCCATCTTCTTAATCTGTCTTGTACCTTGTCCTAAATTCCTAATTAGGAAGTATCTTAATTTCACTAATCTAATAAATAAATTAGCATAACGACTGACTGCTATTGACACCTGCTGAAGCAAACTTTAGAAACAAATAATTTCACATGTGAACAGAAAATTCTTAGATGCAGGGGGACTCTTGGTGAAACAATGCGGATGGAGGGAGGGCTGGGGAGATTGATTTCAAGTCATCTCATTATAATATTGATATACGTATTGCATCCTCCCAAATATACCTCCAACCAATACGGCTGGCTCATTGCTCTAGTCCAATATATTACGAGCAAGGGGGTAACTGTTCCTGCATGCAGACTTACAAGCCTCACTCAATTTTTAAATATACACCTAATGCAATTGAAGAATATTCAATCTTAACAAAGACTAGAAATAATCATAACATCCATCAAATATGTAAAACATTAAGAAATAAAGAAAACTCAAAGAAACATATAATTCAGACATTAAATACAGTAGGTAATAATAAAATAAGACCTTTAAGTACTTGGGCTTTGTCACGAAGATCAGTGGAAACGTATTGAGCGCGGCCAGACGTCAGGGCCTCCCTGAGAACCCCTTTCTCCTCATCGGGATCCAGCACAATGCTGGGACCCAAATCCGCTATACGGACCTTAAAGATCTCATATTTGATTAGCATTACCACCAAATGCCGCGCTGCAAAGCCTCTCCCACCCGTCACCATACACCACCTCTCTTCCTCAGCCATTTGGAGATATATTCTGATAAATATTACACTACTATGGTCCTGCAAAGTGAAAACTTAGCAATATGCTTAAAAATTTATAACATGACATTAAATGCTAGTTTTGCATGCACATATCTCGAAAATAAAAATGTGGTTACTTATTGAAAATTGAAATTAAGGTAGAATAACATAAAATATTTAATTAAATTGATATATAATTAGAGATTGATTAGTTCTGTTAGGATTGAATTTCAACCATCTCATCTGAAAACCAATCCATGGGCTTAAGAATGGCATGGTTGCTCCCATATAATCCTCCCTAAACATGATGCTCTTGTGACTCGAACATCATGTAGCTCTAACACCACTTATTAAATCGGGTTAGCACCGAATATTGTCCACCAATTTGAGTGACCTAACCCTGGACTTAAGAGAGGGGCGGAGCCAGCTGCGATCTAGTGGGGCAATTGCCCACGCTGGATTTTGGTCCTGAGTATTTCACCTATTACACTTGAGAGGCGGCAGCCGGTTTTCAAGGCAAGGAGAAACCATAAACAACAGCATCAAAATTCAAAGAAATGTTATGGAAAATATCAATGTTGCTAGAGGAAGATTAAAATAAAAAAACAACAATTTTGGAAAAATAAATTGTAAGGAGTTGAGTAGAAATTAAATCATTCACAACAAACAGATCGAGTGCGATTTCAACGTATAAAAACTTTTTTAAATTTAATAAAATCCGATACTACCTTCCAAGTTTGGTGATGAAGAAGTTGAGTAGAAATCACAGCAGCACGAGATAAAAATCATAAAATGGTGCCAATGAATATGTCCCCCTTTTTGCCTCGCCTTCACACGAAATTGTTCCCAATTTTAGTGTACTTGCTCCCTTTGCTCTATGAATATAGTTCAGTATATATGCTTTTAATTGGGGGCTTTACCAAAAATAATTCAATAAGAGCCAACCCTATTTTATAGCTCAATATGATATTCTTTATCGTTTTCAAGCTTTTTCTTTTTTTTTTTTTTCGATTTTTCAGTGAAAATGCGTTCTCTTTTATATTTTCGAAACGCGTTTGAAAAATAAGTTAAAACTTTACAAAAAAAATCAAAAATGACAAATTGGTGTTTTCAGTTATAATCAAACCAAATTTTCATAACACTTTTTGAAAATTTTCAGTTTAACGTCACCCCAACTAACACCAATACCGCATGCACCACACCACCTCCATCACCGCCTACACTAATTGAAATGAAAAATATACAGCACTAACTGAAAAATTGAAAAAAAAAATTAGGAAGAGGGGGAGATGGGGAAACGACTCCGCTATGTGTACAGAAAGTAGTTGACAGAAAAATTCCAGATGATGTGGCATGGTGAGCTGTCCCACACTATCTGTCCAAAATTTAAAAAAAAAAAAAAAGGAGAATAGAAAATGGCTGAATTTCTTCTTCATTTCATTTGGACTCTACGCCGCCAGAAGCTTCTTCTTCATTTCATTTGGACACTGCAATTTCTCCTTTCTCCTCTTCCCCACACCCACCTTCCCGTCACCAAATAGAAACCACGAAAAACCCCTTGGCCATTTTTCTCGCACCAAAGAATCAAATGACTTCGTCATTATAAGATTACATATTGCAGAAGAGCGTAATTCCTGTCGACTTCACCATCGGTTTGGTCATCATCTCCGACAGTAGTTGAGGTATTCAAGCATGCCGTTACTATCGATTCTATATCACACTTCTACTAGGTAAGATTTGTGGGTTTTTGAACTAATTATTTATGGGTTTTCCACCATTTAAGATTTTTGGGGTTTTAGCATTGATATTTTAGCAAGATTCCAGCTTATTTTCGATATAAAAATAGGTTTCATCATCTCAGATTCTTACGTTTTTCACCTACGTTATTATGTCGGGGTCTTCTTGCTTTACTTTGATTTTGAAAATAATCTCATTACAGTAATCAAAAACTGATATTGCGAACATGTTTTAATTTTTGGCAACAATATGTAATTTGCTTAATGTTGATGGGATTTGCATCTTGTAATTGGCATTGGAAGTGGAATTTGGTGAATTACCCAATGCACTATGAATTTGATTTTGAACTTGCAATAACTCCTCATTGTGATAGGCAGTATGCATATTGATATTCTTGTTTATGTAGGGATGGAAGGCAAGAACTACGATTTATGTCATAGCTGTAGAAGCACTGACCACTTCTTCGGAGAATGCCACAGAAAACTCGATTGTCCATGGTGTGTAGATGGAATTCAGAAATGCTTTGAGGTTGAAAAGGAATGCGACAACAAAGGCCGACTATTCAAAACTTGCAGTAATGACTGTGGATTTTTTGATTGGGTAAAAAAGGAAGAAGAAGACGGTGAGTCGAGTACCACTAAGAAAGGAAAGAATCCGCATGTGAACAAGGAAGTCCATGAGTTGCCAAGCATGTTGATAGTCTAGCTCATATAGCTGAGAAAAGAACCATCGAGATTTAGTTCAATGTGATGTTCCACAAAGGCAAAGAACCATCGGAAGATAAGGAAAAGGGAAGGGGTCGGCATGATGCACTTATATTCCGTGAAATAATTTTTTCCCATTATGTTGTAATGTTCCTAATTATGTTGTAATATTCCTAATGTTCCCATAACTGACTGGCAAAAACTTCTTGTAACCGATGTTGGCTTGGTGTATCAAAAATTTGAATTGGCATTCATTTGTTTCTTATCAGCTTTACAATGCCTATTTATTATCGGAACCAAATTTTCAGCTTGGAGAATAGCATTTATCCATAATATTGGTGCAACTAAGTTCACAGCTTGGAGAATAGCATTTTTCATCCCTGCCCTGTTTCAAACTCTATCAGCATATGCCATTTTCTTCCTAGGTCAAGATTTGCCCGATGGAAACTACTCACAATTGCATAAATCCGGAGATAAACACAAAGATAGTTTCTCACAGATTTTCCATCACACCATTACAAATTATAGAGGGTGGATTGGCAAATTTATTCTCACGACCCGGAGGGGGGATTTTGTGTAGTGCTATGTGAAGCTACATTATTATCAACTGCCAATTTGTCCCTCCTCCATGAAGTATACCAAAACCAATTCAAAGGAAAACTATTAACAAATGGAAAATGAAATTGAAATACAAGCTTGCAATTGAAGAGGCATTCTCAGTACACCAAAAAAAAACTGCCCAATACAATAGAAGAAGGACATAGCGGCCAATATAATGAAATTACAATTCACTAATCAATGTTATGCCTTAGTTATAAACTTTTGCAATCAACATGTTAAATCTTTGAACATATAAATCACACAGTTCATATGCATAATCCAACTAAGAAACCAAAAAATGAGCCTCTTCATTATGCCCTTGAAGAATCAAACAAGCATGATCCATCATATGCCGACTCCACCATCTTGAGTTACATACGAGATTTGATGACTTTTTGCGTCGCCCTACAACAAACCACAACACAACATTGTCTAGAACATAGTTCAAATAAATAAGTATAATAAGACCAACAATAGAGGATAATACGAAATTGGCTTCTGCATAGAATATTGTTGAGATGCTTAGACGATAGGTGCAATAGGTGGTGTATTCATCTGGCTGGACGTTGTTCTCCTTGATCCTTTAGTTACATTCGATGTAGCCTACACGTACAGACAAGTTACGTAGTCATTGTAAAAAAAAAACACAATGTTTAAGTTGAAAATATAACGTAACAAACAAACCTTTGTTCTCTTCGAAGAGGACTCCAATGGGATTTTTCTGCGAAGCTTCTTAGGCGCGCCCTTTCGTCTTGTTAATAGAGGATCTCTTACATTCCATATGGCATTGTTTTTAGATTGATTACCTGGAGAGGCTATCTGAGTAGTGCCATGTGAAGTAACATTAATCCCACTACCTGACTTCATTGTTATCAACTCTTTATTTTGATTAGTTATTCACTCCTTAATCGAAAGGTAGCGCACTTCATCGTCAGCCGCCAGGTTTGCAACCTTGGCAAAAGCTTGACAGATGTCATCGTATCTCAACTCTTCAGGAATACTAGCCAACCTATCGTAGTTCACTGCGACCCGGGTGTAAGCTCTACAAACATCTTCTCTCCACTTCCGTAGTATGTCCGATAGTATCGTGACGTCATTACGGATCAAGACTACAATAGCATGCCGGCATAGAATTCCCCGAAATTCGAACAAGTGGCAACTGCAAACAACTTCACAACTTTTTCTCTGGAATGAGATGAAAAACTTTTTCATCTTCCGACGATCATCGTACATGACTAGTTCACGTAGTTCATACATCGTCCCTAAAGTTCCCTCCACGGTAGATATGATATCGCAATAAACCTTCCCGGTAAGCTCGACTTGAACTTCCTTGAACTTGGAAATGGTGTAACATTTCTGATATTGCTTCTCCATTTCGAACATTGTTGTACAAGGTATCATTTGCGAGTATGACTTGAAGTTGGCTTGGAACTCATTCTCAAATTTATTTCTCAATGCCCGCTCATACTGTTAAACAAATTGCTTCAACGAGGTCTTTGACTGCACATACCCAATCGAAGAATGTATTGATACTCTCACTTCGCTGATTTGTAGACATCCCTGGCCAAAATGTTGTTTTTAAATAGTAAGGAACCCAACGACCTCTATTGTCAAACAGTCCTGACAACCAATCATTACCATGCAACCCGTACGTGTCAATCATGACCCTCCAACCATCTTCAAATTCTTCTACAAATTGCGATTTATACACCAGTATAGAGGAAAAAATGGAAGCCTTATCAACGTGATAACCAAACTTTTCTAGCAACTTCTTAAGAATATGCCACAAACACCACCTATGTTTTGTATTAGGAAAAATAATCTGGATTACATTTTGCATAGCCCTATCTTGATCGATAATGATTCCATGATGAGCTTTTCCATACATGCACTGAAGCCATGTCCTAAACAGCCACACAAAAGTATCGGTGTCCTCATTGGACAACAAACCACAACTCAGAAGTGTTGATTGTCCGTGATGATTAACGCCAACAAAATGGACGAAAGGCATATCATTCTTATTAGTTAGATACATGGTATCAAATGTAACAACGTCGCCGAACTCCTTATACGCTTGCCTAGACTTATTATCTGCCCAAAATACATTCTTCAGCCTAGACTCATCGTCTAAATCCATACTGAAGTATAATCCCGTGCACCGAGCTTGCATCTTAGAAAAATAGGATTGTATCACTGCTGCATCTCCTTCCCCAAGTCTTAATCGTCTCATATGTTCAATCTAATTTCGACAACCCTTTTCCATGTAAGTCATGTTTTCATATCCACCAGCTTCAACCACTGCAGAGTTGAAACTTTTGTGTAAGGGAATTTCGGCCATGTCATTCACTTCAAGCTTTCGTTTCACTTGTGAACTTAATTCTCGATTACAATGATACAACCTCAACTTGGAATGACTTGTTTTATGATTGTGGTCGAGGTACACTGCGTTGATTCTCCAAATTCTAAAAATATCTGAAGAGGCAGTAATCCTGGCTTTACAACCTGTCTGTATTGTTGGTTGAGGTTTCAAAGAACCACTTGTACTGGTACTTCTTCGACCTTCGCGGCTACATGTGATAGTCACATATTTAATTGTCCCATCATCACCCTTTTTCGAATTCTGTTTCCTAATCGGAAAACCTATATGGTATGCATATTCTTAATAGAAGTCCCACAATTCTTTTTCATCATTGAATATCATACCCACCTCCGACACCTTAGGTACCTTCAAACCATCTTTCCCTAACGCCGCCTCCGGCACTGATATCAAATTGTCCACAACATTCTCGTTATCATTTCTCTCCACCACCAATTCGTCACGTACGTCTTCCATAGAACTTTGTACTGCAACCCAATACAAAAGCTAGTTGAGCAAACCAATTACAGTAATTTCACCACTTTCACATTCTTCCCACATAATCAACAACTTCATATAGAAAGATTACAATATGAACACTATTCAAGGAAACATTTTACTATGAACACTGTAAATACATTTTACTATGAACACCGTCAAAAATTAATGATTCAGCTTGAACTCAACACTTTTCATTGAAGCTTTCAGTACATGCAAGATTTCAAAGTAAAAAATTACCCAACTCATGGGATACAAAATGTAAGCATTATAATCAAATCACTTGAAAAATGGCTCACATAGGTTTGTTCGTGAAGTGGCGACTTCGTCGTCGGTGAGATTTATGGGCAACTCCATGGGTTCCCTTTTTCTTAGCGACAGTGGGAAGGGAGCGCGCTCACTTCAGATCGACAGAGCTAGGCAGTGCACAATAGCCGAAGAACTCCGGGAATATAGAAGAAGAAGATCACCTTACTTGACAGGATTCAATGGAATTTGGATTAGATTTGGAAAATGGGAGGCAAGGTTTTTTTCCCTCTTTCAGTTTCCCTCTATTTCGACTAGCAGCCCGGTTTTAGTAGAAAAGGAAAGAGAGAAAAAAAGGTCCCCAAAGTCAATGCAATTTGAATTTCTGTATGTCTTCTGTCAACTGGCTTCTGTACGAGAAGCTTTTTTCATGGGAAAAATTACTTGGGGATAAACAATCAAAGTAATAGGCGATTTGCTGCAAATCCATAAATATCGTAAACCAACTCGTAATCAAATTTCTCAAAAGTTACAAAAAATAATAATAAAAAAAAAAGGAAAACGTTTTCGCTGGCAAGTTTGATGCAGTTTTGAAACAATTCAAGGATCTGTTCTTTTCCAAGCAATGGATCTACCTTGGGAGAAATGGCTATCGTAAGGGCTCCAGGTTTCCAGTGCATAGTAACGGTATGAGCAGCGCGTGCCTGAGCGCACCGAAGCTTTTCATCATTGGAGCCCAATAAGAATGGGCTTGAAGGAGAGAAGGGTCCCCTCTGCTTAGGGTTTGATCTCCTTGTTTCAGCCATTTGTTTTGTGTACGTGGAGAGTTTTTTTTTTTTTTTATCATTTTGCATTTATCTCTTTCAAAATACCAAAAAGAACACATTTTTCAACAATTTCAAAATGGACACTCTAACACAAAACCAAAAATGAATTCAAAAACACAAAGAGAACAACACCTAAGACTCTTAAAAAAGTATGCCCTTAAAATTATACTCTAAAGCTGTGTTTGATTAGCCACAATTTCCATGGAAAATGGAAAATTTTTTCCATTTTCCATCTTTTGCGCTGTTTGATAGCCTAAATTTTCCACGGAAAATATTTTCCCACCCCACCCGCCACGTCAGCATTTTCCACCAAATCCTTGAAAATATTTTCCCACCATTTTGGTGGGAAAATATTTTCCGGCCGGCTGCTAAATTTTTTTTTTTTTTNAAAAAAAAATTTCACTTTAATGGACAATTTCCATGTAAAACAAAGTCAAACGAACACTAAACTTTGATGAAAAAAATGATTTTTTAGGAAACAATTTTTTTTTTCTTTTTTTTTTACTTTTTGGCAATGGAAACAAATTTTATAACCAATTGTGGAAAAAAATATCACTTTAATGGACAATTTTCATGTAAAACAAAGTCAAACGAATAGAAAATTTAAAAATTTTCCGGGTGGAAAATTATACCAATCAAACAAATTTGAAATCATTTTCCCTACAAAACATTTTCTAGGCAAATCGTTTCCCTGTAAAACATTTTCTTTCCACCTATTTTCCACCCTTGCAATCAAACGCACCCTAATAGACACTTTTAAGCCACGTTTTTGTTAGGAATTAAAATCATATTTTTATTAAATTTTGATAAAAATTATTAAAATACATGATTGAAGAGTTGTTTCTCACTAGCTCCTATAAAATATGTGATTAAAATTAATTATTGAGTTTGACTTTGATAAAAATTTAAATTTTAGTCACTACCAAATAGGGGCCAAATAACATTTTAAAATGGAAAGTGAACTTGAATACAATCACTATAATTAAATGTATTTAAAGTATTTCAATTTTTAATGGAAAAAATAATATAATAATTTTAAAGAAATCTACTAAAATAAAAAAGAGTTATAAAAAGTTTGTTAGAATACTTAAAATTTTTTACTCTCTAAATAGTAAAATATGCTTGTTAAAATTAAAAAATCCCTCAAAAATGCTCTAAAAAGTATACAATAGAAAAAATAAAAGAAATTTCATCGAAATCTTTTTAAAATTCAAATAATTGATTGTTAAATTATTTTTAATTAAAAAAATAGATAATTTATCAAATACTTTCATAAGAGAAGATTCTTGAATTGTAACAGGAATAATTACAATTATGATTCCAAAACCTTTCAAATCATTGCAGCTTTTACCTTAAAATTTTATTTTTGCATCCAGTCTCAAACATTTCAAGTGCATGTGGCTAGAGGACAAATTGATGAAATCCATCCATAAATCTGTTAGTTGACCAAGGAATTAATCTTTAACCATATTTTGGCCAATTAGAAGGATAAATTAGACTCTACATTTTTCTCATATTAAATCATAAAAAAAAAAGAATCCAAAAAAGAAAAAAAAATCTATCTCATCCTCTTTCCCCACCCTTCCCCAAAACCAAAATCACTGCCACCTCCCATCTCTAACCATCGCCATTGGCCTTCCTTCCCATACTATAGTAGAGTCGTCGTACATAAGTTATCCAAAGTCACATCTGATGACATCAAAACATGTACAGTCACATTAAGAAGTAGCTTCGTCATATTCGATTTTCCTTGCGTCATTCCCAAATCAGTCGAACTCACCACTTTTTTTTTTCTAACCAGAAAATTCAGCGCCGCTCTTTGCCTCGACAACTTCGCCACTACACCAGTATTTTTCTCTTGAAACGATATTGCCTTTTTAGATACCTTTCCCTTCTTGTTTTTCTCGTTGCTTCCTTAATCTTCGACGACAACATTTCAAAATTCATATATATAATATAATGCTAGCACGTAGAGTAATTAATCACCTGAGGCGACGATAGCTGAAAAAATGGAGCGCGTGGAAGCAAAGAGTGATGGGAAGAAGGGACTCCCAAGTTCTCATTTGCTAGCAGCGAACACACACACACACATAAGACAAACGATATCATATTAGGGAACCATACTGATGCTACCAAAAACTGTACATGTTGATTTCCAAGCTTGAGGAGTGAGAATATGTACGAACAGAATCTTCTGGTTCCTCATGGACCAAGTTCGCTGTAGCGAAGCCAATGCTTAACCGAGAATGAGCAATCCTGAAGTACCATGATCGAGGAGTTTGTGAGGTTTTTGGTAGAATGGGCAATATCACTCATCAGGTTCTGGTGCTCGAGGTCATGCCTAATTTTATGATCATCAGTGGCCTTCATGCATCCATGTCAAAGGCCCGCGCTCGATGTGCGAGACTCTGGGGTGAAATGCATTTTCCAACTACTAGAGTGGGTTGGGCATATGAATGATCAGCCTTCAAAATAGGATTAGACAGCCTTGAAATAGGATTGATCAACTTTAGAAATAGGATTGGTCAACCTTCGAAATAGGATTAGCCTTTCAAATGAGACTGGTCAGCCTTGAAAATAGGATTGATTGGCCATTGAAATATGACTGGGAGTGATGAGTTAATATGAGTTGCTTAGAATGAGTAACATGTGGCCTCAATATTCGAGCTAATGATTACCTTATATGGATAGTTGCCACGTGGCAGGGGTTTGAGTGCCAAGATTGAGGGACCTTTGGCTTTTTCCAGAATCCTATAAATACCCTACTACCCCACCTCATTTGTCACTTTTCACTCTCCAAATATTCCTTGTATAATCTTGAGTTTGGGCTTAAGGTAAGGTCTCACGACTTTTAGATAATTTCAGTTTTTATTTTTTCAAAGATGTCTAGGCTCGGGTTCATTGCCCAACGACGAGGATCGCTCTCTCATACCTTACACAATCTCCATAGATAGCTACCCTGCCATTTCATTTCCCGATCTACATAGTAAATATAAAGAGCATGAGATCGTAGGGATAGCCCGAGAGTTTGGAATTATGCTGGCATGTGACGTCCGACTTCCAGGACCCAAGGAAAGAATAACTAGTGCTTGAGAATGAGAGTTGTTTTATGGAGGCTTTAAATGGGGGGCTTAAGTGGCCTCTCCACTTTTTTTATTAAGTTCCTAGTCAAGTACTATATGTGCCCCGGGCAGCTTGTTCCGAAAGGATGGAGGTTGCTAATGTATTTTTTTAATAACTTGTAGATATTTGTCTATAGTCCTGAGGTTAAATTTGCACAGGATAGTCTTTGAAATGAAGGCTCTCCTGGACTTTAACTGTTTTGTCTACCTATCCTCTCGAGGTGAGTTTAAGGTACCCAAATTGACGAGCTCCCTTAAGGGGTGAAAGTTCAAATATTTTTTTATTATTCCCTATGATCCTGATCATCTTTTCAATTCTCGGTGGACTGTCTCGAACACTAAGTGTTTTAACAAGGGCCAAACATATTCTGAAGTGTTAGAAAGGGATAGGCAGAGCATGGCTGAGCTCGAGCCATTTGCACATAAAATTGATGATCTCATCAAGGACGATGTCCTCGACTTTGCTAATGTGAAGGGCATCGAAGGTAGGAACTTTTAAATCTTATTTTTTTTATTTTCACTGCTCGACCCTTAAGTTCCTCATTCTTATGACTTGTATGATTTTTATTGCAGCATTTGAGATGACGTTCGATCCTTTCGACCTCTACCGTGCAATACAACAAAAACCAAAGAATGCCCCGACTAAACAAGTCGGGAAGAAGGGAAAGAAGAGGCCTCGGGAAATGACTTATGAGCTATCGAGGATGGGCCCTGGTAAGACGTTTAAGGTCACAGCTGAAACCCTACCATGCAAGCCGAGGCACCGTCCATTCAAAACCCTCGAGTTGGCACTCCTCGAGGTAAGCTAGTGGTTGTTGACCTCGATGACGACATCTCTGTCTTTCCATCCTCGACGACCACAGAAGTTGGGAAGTGCATGCTCATGCCTAAACTCCTCAAGAAATATCAAGAAAAAGAGCACAGCATTAATAAGGGTATGAAGGCGATCAAAGCTCTCACGCTGAAAGTAACGTCGAGCACAATATTTCATACTTATCGTTTGAATTTTTTGTTGAGTTGAAAACCCAACCACTTACTATTGTTATGCTGTTTGAAAGCCTTGACTGTAGCTTGAGCCCTGACTTTAAAAGGAGAAGGAAAGGCTAAGAAGGTGGTCTCATTTGAGGAAGAAATTAATCGTCGGGAGCAACATATATTTGATCTTGAGACTGAGGCTTTTTGACAATCTAGGGAAAATTTTAAGCTTAAGGTCGGTATACAATAAGCTCGAGATGACATGGGAGTGGCCAGGGATGAACCTGAGGAAGCCAAGCTCTAGAACAATGACAGCTACCTCATACTCTTCCTCATTGTTTGTACTTCAAATTCAAATCGGAGTGCACATTGTATTTCTATGTGTTTGTCTGGGATAGTGAATATGTTAATACACCTAACCCCGAGGAGTTGGTTGCTCCATCTACAAATTTCTCTCATGTGTCCTAGTGGAAGTGTTCGGGTTATCTCCTGGCCCCAGAGATCTTGGGATGAGTTCTACCGTGAAGTTAGCCAATGTTTGTGTCTTGATAGAGGGTCGGTGCTTGAACTCTATGTCAAATTCACCAAGTTCAATAGCCCACTTCAATAGTCTACCAGACACGTCGAGCTTTTGGAGTATGTGCTAGAGTGGTTGATTCGTGAGCACCACAATTGAATGAGATTGAAAATATTATCTCAGTTTTCGAGATGTCACTATCAGGGCAAGAGCAAGTTGTTCAGCTAATGTATACATGGTCTCCGTATCAAGTAATACATTACTTACATAGTAAATTGGTTGTTGAGCTTTGTTAACCTCTTTCACCAGTACACCACTTTCTACATTTTGAAAAATTTCCAAGTATAAAAACAGAGTATCTCCAA